ACTCAGGCATCAGGAGGGGAGCCAAGACCAGGCAGGACGGGGATGCAGGGAGCCCTGGTCCCCAAGAAGTTTCCAGTCTCAACAAAACACAAGGCAGAGAGTGGCAAAGCCAGAGGCATTTGGCTACCAAATGCAGGCCGTACAGAGCCCGGAGCGGACACTTTCTTTCTGCCGTCACTAAACCACATTTTCCCCTCCCCAGTCAATGCCACAGACAGAGAAAGACACTTTCCTGCTCCACCTGCCAGTAACACTAGCAATAAACATAAAAAAGGACATTTCAAGAACTATTACTGACAGCATCTTCTCTGGGCCCTCAAAAACCCTAAAAAGCAAGAACAGGCAACAGCGGCGCCTGGATGCATGAGAAGACTATCCTGCACCCTTGGCCTTGAATGCCTTCTGACTTGATATTGAGGCAAATGGAAAACAAACAAACATGAACAGCAACAAAAAAGCAGAGAGAGAAAATGAAATGGTGCTTGTGCAGTTAAACTTTTACAATCCAATTGGGCAAGGCCCCGGCCTCTTCTGTGAGTCCACTCTGAGGTTTGGGGTACAGTGGGCTACAAGGAACTCAGAGTACAAGGTATCTGACCACCAAGTACAATGTGTCAGATGGTCTGACATTTTATGGTGTTCTCGTCTCTTTCCCAGCCTCAATGATACAACCTCAACACAAGTAGGTACACTAGTTCCTATCAACCTTTTATTCTCTGCATTAAAAAACTGGCTGACCCTGACAGCGTGAAAATTATTTTTGACAAACAGAAGAATACAGTGAATTACAGAATTGAAAAGCAACATAAAGGTTGCTGTTGTTCAGTCTCACAACAAACTGTGGAAAATTCTGAAAGAGATGGGAATACCAAACCACCTGACCTGCCTCTTGAGAAACCTGTATGCAAGTCAGGAAGCAACAGTTAGAACTGGACATGGAACAACAGACTGGTTCCAAATAGGAAAAGGAGTACGTCAAGGCTGTATATTGTCACCCTGCTTATTTAACTTATATGCAGAGTACCTCATGAGAAATGCTGGGCTGGAGGAAGCACAAGCTGGAATCAAGACTGCCGGGAGAAATACCAATAACCTCGGATATGCAGATGATACCACCCTTATGGCAGAAAGTAAAGAACTAAAGAGCCTCTTGATGAAAGTGAAAGAAGAGAGTGAAAAAGCTGGCTTAAAGTTCAACATTCAGAAAACTAAGATCATGGCATCCAGTCCCATCACTTCATGGCAAATAGATGGGGAAACAGTGGAAACAGTGGCTGACTTTATTTTTCTGGGCTCCAAAATCACTGCAGATGGTGACTGCAGCCATGAAATTAAAAGATGCTTGCTCCTTAGAAGGAAAGTTATGACCAATCTAGACAGAATATTAAAAAGCAAAGACATTACTTTGCCAACAAAGGTCCATCTAGTCAAGGCTATGGTTTTTCCAGTGGTCATGTATGGATGTGAGAGTTGGACTATAAAGAAAGCTGAGCGCCAAAGAATTGATGCTTTTGAACTGTGGTGTTGGAGAAGACTCTTGAGAGTCCACTGGACTGCAAGGAGATCCAACCAGTCCACTAAAGGAGATTAGTCCTGGGTGTTCATTGGAGGGACTGCTATTGAAGCTGAAACTCCAATACTTTGGCCACCTCATGTGAAGAGCTGACTCATTGGAAAAGACCCTGATGCTGGGAAAGATTGAGGGCAGGAGGAGAAGGGGATGACAAAGGAAGAGATGGTTGGATGGCATCACTGATACAACGGACATGAGTTTGGATGGACTCCGGGAGTTGGTGATGGACAGGGAGGCCTGGCGTGCTGCGATTCATGGAGTCGCAAAGAGTCGGACATGACTGAGCAACTAAGCTGAACTTATGTTGAAGCTGCAACTCCAATACTTTGGCCAATGAGCAAAAAACTGACTCATCTGAAGACACCCTGATGCTGGGAAAGATTGAAGGTGGGAGGAGAAGGGGACGACAGAGGATGAGATGGTTGGATGGCATCACCGACTCAATGGACATGAGTCTGAGTAAACTCCGGGAGTTGGTGATGGACAGGGAGGCCTGGCATGCTGCAGTCCACGGGATCGCAGAGAGTCAGACGTGACTGAGCGACTGAACTGAACTGTCGTTCAGCCTCTAAGTTGTGTCTGACTCTTTCCGACCCCATGGACTGCAGCATGCCAGGCTCCTGTGTCCTCCACTATCACCCAGAGTTTGCTCAGATTCACCTCCACTGAGTCAGTGATCTAACCATCTCATCCTCTGCCGTCCCCTTTCCCTGTGAACACTCCCAACCACACTCAAGATGCTGCGTAGATTTTGATAAATTTTTTTTGAGATAAGACTAGTATCCCTCACTATTCCTGGACACAGCTCCAGTCTTGTAGGAAAAAGACAAAGAAGTAACGAGTCAGACAGCTTCAACATGACTGATGTTAATAAATGAGCTTCTGTGGTCTTGGTTATTGGAAACTGATCTCTTCCTTATTAATATGGTCCCGCAATGGAGAGGAAGATTTCTCCATGTTCTAGAATGCAAACAATGTTTTAATCTTTAATTATATTCTCAATTTCAACTCTTCTGGAGAGTGAGAGCCACCAAGGCCTAGGATTATTTCTTTATTACACAGCCTCTCAGTGGTATCTAATGAATATTGTTACTTAATACTTGCCAGTAGGGGGAAGGGGAATTTCGTGAATCTCTACTTAAGTTTTGATGACTTTCTGCCAACCTCAAGGAAACTTAAAAGCTGCAAAGTTCTCTGTTTCCTTTCAGGGACACTCAGAACAGCCAACAACACACTGGCTCTGCTCACAAGCCGAGGCCCAGAGAGTGTCGGCCTAGCAAATAAGCAATCTGGAAGAGGGGATTACAGGAGGTGATGCTGTGTATTTCTAAAACTCCCGGCAATCAATCTGTTTGCTTCTCATTCATGGTATATTAACTGATGCTTTGAAAGTGAAAAGTGAAAAATCCTTAGTCACTGTCGTGTCGAACTCCTTGCAACCCCATGAACTGTAGCCTGCAAGGCTCCTCTGTCTGTGGGATTCTCCAGGCAAGAATACTGGAGTGGGTTGCCATATCTTCCTACAGGGGATCTTCCCGACCCAGGGACTGAACCTCTGTCTCCTGCATTGCAGGTGGATTCTTTATCATCTGAGCCTCCTTTGCTCAGAGACAAACTAAACTCCTATGAAAAGAGATGCCAAACATTCCTGTTCAGGGCTCCTCTCACCATCTGAGTTGAAGCACTTAATATAAACCTATCAACATACAACCAAATGTTGCCCTCAACAAAATATCAAGATCCTTGGGAGGCAAAACAAAGCCCAAGTAATCAAGAGAAGGGTGAGGTACCTGCAAGGAAGCAGGGTCACAGTGACTATCAAATGATGGCTAAGTCAGGGCTTCTGTAATAGCAAAGCAAACACAGAAACCCGGAGTTCCATCTCTGTGCGGCTGAGAAAAAACTCACAGAAAAGATCTGGAAAAACCATCAACAGGAGAGAGAATGGTGTCATGGCCAGGAAGCTACAGGAAGAGACCCAGGTTTCGTACACTCATCCTGGCAAATATTTGCCTTTCTCGGTTTCAACATCAATGACTACAAAGAGCGGGCCCCTCGTTCATCACCGTCGCCCAGCACGGATCCGTGTCTCCCCTCTGCTCTCCAGGTCTCCTGGCAGTTTCACATTAAGCAAGAGACAGTAGGAGCCTCTCCATTCGGAGAGCAGAGGCAGCGCTCACCACGCGTCTTCGAGAGAAGCCGGTCACCCATAACAGCACCGGGTGGGATTTCAAGTCCAAGACCTTCTTGGTCTTGGTCCTAGTGTGCAAGGCGGTGGCAGGAGATGAGCCTCTTTCAGTTCAACTTCCAGAGCCCAATCAGTGGCCATACCAAGACAATCTGCTGTTCACACTGGAACCCCGAGGTGGCTAAGCAGTGTCATTATGCCAGTGACTGCCTCCATCGGTGGCGTTTCTCCCCAGCAACACTTGTCCCGGCACGTGGTTTGTCTGTGTCGTTGTTACTCAAACCTGAGGCAGGTCATCCAAGAGCAGGAGCAGGAAGTGAAGATGCCCCACACTCTCAGAGGTATGAAACAATACTGAAGCAGACGCCAAACGGTGAGGAAGACCCACTGGTGGGCTCCAGAGAACATCTAGGAATCCTATTCAGCAATAAAATGGAGCAGAGCACTGACACACACAACACAGATGAATCTCCAAGACAGCACGTCGAGCAAAAGAAACCAGGGAGAAAGCGCTGTGTTCTGCACGACTCCGCCTACGTGGAGTGCTACAAGAGGCAAAACTAGAGAACGGGGATCGGAGTCAGAATGCTTGTTGCCTGGGGTGGTTGAGAAACTGGGGACAAGTACAGTCAACTCTTTCAAGGAGTTTTGCTGTAGAGAGGAGGGGGCTGGGGAGATGAAAGGAGGAGGTGTTCTCCCAGGAGATGGGTCTGGGGCTCGCCCATTTCCATTCTACCAAGAACGAAGCAGGAGAAAGGGAACACGGACAGGGTGGGAGAGAAACAGGAGGCCCCTGGAGAAACACTTGGGAGCGGGTGAGGGGGCACTGGACCCAGTGAATGTGCAGAAGGGCTGCTCCGGGCTGCGAGCAGGGCCAACGCATCCCCAGTGCTGAGAGGAGGCAGCCTGTGAGGTGTCCTTAGTCTCACAGGCAGGGCCTCTTCGCAAACCGTAAGGTGATACACAGGAACCGCCTGGTGTCACAACCTCCAGCAGGGGGAGGGAGGCAGCTAATACTTTTAAAAATAACCTTTCTGTAAAACAACTGACTTTTTTCCCCCCTCAAACCTAGGTGAAACCTGGAACTTCCCTGGTAGTTCAGTGGCTAAGATTCCGAGCTCCTGATGCAGTGGCCCGGGTTCAATCCCTGGTTGGGAAACTAAATCCCACATGCCAGTGCAGCCACATAAATGAAAACAAGTATTAAAAAAAAAACCCGAATGAGATCTACATGTGCGAAATAAGAACACACAAGGGTCTTTCACCTCTGATGAAAGCCGGGAGTCACACTGATTGTGTGTGACTTGGCCACGCTGCCACAGGAGTACCCGGAGCAAGGTCTCGGAGAGCTGAAGCCGCCATCCATGGCGGCACAAGGAAACATGGCGCCCGCTGACGCATGGGGATCTCAGGACGCAAGTGACGGGTCAGCCAAGTGCAGCAGCCACTTCCCAGACTGAGCCCAGTCCTACAAGGTCAAAGGCGAACAATGTTTACCCAGCAACGGGGGATACAGCCTCCTCTATGAAAATGACAGCGTCTATCCTTTTGCAGACTTAAGAAGAACACTCGGCAATCAGGGAGTGAGGTCACTTCACCAGGGCCTTCTGAACGCTAATACAGGATCACAGATCTTTCATCATGAACAGCATCTTGTCTCCTTACAAGCGTCTTTGGAGGGGGAGAAAGATATGAATCATTAATCCCACAAATCACTAATCCTCTGGGAACGTGAGTTGGGGGGTGAGGCGTGGAATCTGAGTCTTCAAAGACTATTGCTTTTAAAGCCAACTGCATTTTAAAAACAAACACATCAATGATGGTACAAATCTCCTGCATTCTTGTCATGACTATGGTCTCAGCACACTCAGGAAGAGGCTTTGGGGCAGCAGCTTCCACGCCACCTAACTGCTAACTCAAGCCAATGCAGAAACCCAAGTGCCTCCACACTAACAGACACACAGAATTCTAGGGGAGGGCGAGTGAGGCAGCCGGCCCCTGGCCCTTAATCGCCTGCTCCACTGTTTAGAAATAAACCCTTTCCTCAGAGTTCCGTAGGCCTACACAAGAAAGCTCCTAGCTCTCCACAAGGAAGCCTCCCTCCCTCCCGCCCGGCAGCGGAGAGATTCGGTGAAGTCTGGTCCCCGTGTGGCCTTTCTTAGCACTGCCATGGCCTTCTCGGGCACGTGAGGATCCGGTCCTTAGGACCTGGCACACTCGACTATGATGCTGCAGTATGGTCATCCCTTGCTGCTCGTTTGTTCCTCTGTTTCTACTGAGCGCATCCCCAAAGCCAAAATCCTCTTATTTATCTCCAAATCCCCAGCTCAGAGCACAGAACCAAGCACCTGCAGGCCCCACGTAAATATCTGCTGAATAAACAAGAGAATGGGGCTCACGGGCCCCACCACCCTACTCTCTGGGCAGTGTCTCTCCTCTTTGGCAATCGTGGTGGTTTTAAAATATGGCTACAAATGTGGACACCCCTTCCTTCAGAAGAGAGCGCCTCACCCCCTCCCCATGAACATCAGTCAGACTTGGCGGCTCATTTCTAATCCATAGAACAGGTGGAACTGAGGCTGCATATCTTGAGGTGAAGCCATAAAAAGGACAGGCCCTGCCCGGCTCGCCTTCTCTGAGTGTGCCTGCTCTGGGAGAGTCACCCGCACGTCCAGAGGACAACCAGGCAGCCTGTGGAGAGGCCTGTGCGCGGAGGGGCAGGGGTCTCCCACCAACAGCCAACACCAAACTGCCTGCCACGTGACTGAGCCACCCTGCAAGTGGCCTTTGGACCCTGGTCCAACTTTCAGATGACTGTGGTCCTGGCTGCGACCTGATGGCAATGTGATGAGAGGCTCTGAACCACGTTACTCCCAGGCTCCTGACCCACAGAAAATATGGGCGATCTTGTTTATTGTCATTAAACCCACTAAGTCTGGGGGCAACTTGTTTAGTAGCAATGGATGAAAATCAGCAACCTTGGAGCATTTAGGTGCTATCTTATAAGGGAGTTCAAGGGATTTCCTTACAGACAAAGTTTATGGTCATACCATGCTTATAGTAAGAATTCTGTAATGAGGAAATGTCCTATACATAAAACCATAACACGGCTGATTGACAGGCAATTTTAAATACTCCATGGGTCAAATTATACTACCTTAAAACCTAACAACTACAATAAATGTTGGGATGTGATACAGAACAGTATCACAGGACAGCTCTTCTTAAAGGCTGGTTTTTGTTTTTAAAAATTATATATTACACATGCATAGGGAAAAAAATCTAGAATAGCCATCAAAACTTTAACAATAACTTTATCAGGGTAAAAGCATTATTATTTTTTCTTTTTTAATAATCTTTGATTTTCTTCAAAATCTACAATATGTATATATTACTAGTTTCTTTTTCTTTTCTTTTTTACAATGCATGATCCAATTAGGTCAGCAGCTATGCCACGTAACTGGTATCTACTCCTGACAACTAACACAGTTAGTGGCACATAGTAGGTGCTCAGTAAAAGCAAACAGAATGTCCTTTAGTTATAGATTCTGCCTACTGGACAGTTACTCTAAGAAGGGATGTCAGGATAATGTGAATCCACAAAGCTCAAGGATGTGAAAAGGCTGCAGTCAATTTTCACAGGAAAAGAGGCTACTAAGTATAGGAAATCATTTCAACACTGTATTCTTAGGGCACGGTAACCACTTTTCTCTTTGAAACTAAGTATTTTGAGTGATTTATTATAAATTTATAATGACAGCTGTGAACACCCATTTTTTTTTTCTTGGCATGAGAACAGAGTCTGTTGATTGCCTTGCTGCTTAAAATAGTTTCTAAGTGTCCTCATAATAACATGTCACCTGTAAATAGGTTTCAAGCCAATGCAAATTAACAAATGGTGAACAGATGGACTAAGAACTGACTTTTGTCAGCAGAGAGTTAGCAACAAACACTTCTGGCTCCAGTCTTGTGGGACCATTAGAAAGTCTTTCACTTCTCACCACGCATCCTGCCTCAGTAGACAAGCCATGCAGGGAGGATGACAAGTTATAGGGCCCATCAGACTTCTGAGAGCCAAAAGTTGAGATGTGCAGAATTGCCAAGTCAACATGTACTAAGCATCAGACAGAAGAAGCTTCTTGCCAAATGGTGAAAACTCCCTCTATCCTGCATCACTTGAAGGAGCCGGCCCTGCTGTCTCTGGAAAGGATGGCACCTGTGTGTGTGGCAGACAGAAAGGAACTTGCTGGAGGCCGGCTGGTTATGTTCATCCCACCCTGGAAGCAAATGCTACTGGTGAAGAAAACCTGAAAATCATACAAACGGTGGGTCAGAAGCATCCACTGGCGAGAGAAGAGGCCCCCCAGAATCATCCCCTGTAGCTTTCCCAGCTCCTCACTGGTCTCTCTCCTCCCTGTTCTCAAGTTCCCCCGTACCGCCTCCTTGGGGAGGCCTCTGACCACTTGTCTTAAGCAGCCTCCCCTCCTTACTGTTCTAGGTGCTCCCTTCAGAAGCACCTACCATAATCAGAAATTACTGTGCTAGTTTATTTATTTGTTTAGGGCTACTTGCTTTTTGCCTTTTCTCCCCAGAAAATCAAAAGCGTTGGGAAGATGGGACCATGTCTGTCTTGCCTGTGACTGTATCCCCAAAGCTGAGGACAGTGCATGGCAGACAGGAGGCATAATAAATATTTGCTAACCAAACATAATATAAATGAGATCCTGTGTAAAGGCAAACAACTGAATGTCCCCTGCCAACCCCCTTTAGACTGGAAACTTTTAAAATGTAGTTTGTAACTGAGGATATAAAGGAAAGAAGGTAAAACAGGAGAACAGGCTGAGCTGGGCAAATGTGTTTAAAAATCAGGTCAAGCCTTTGGGAGGCAGCACCCCTTCCAGGGGAGTCTGTGTGTGGAATGGAAAAACCGCCAGCAAAGACTGGTGTATTCAATTTCTGATTCTACATCAATGAGCGAGCCATGGCCCTCAACTCCTGAGGTTTCGAGTTAAAGCCAACCCAATGGGTGGAACAACTATGGCATATTCAAAGGAATACTATGCAGCAACAAAAAAGAACAAGCAATCTAACAGATATTATGTTGAGTGAAGACAGCTCATATAAAAGATTACATACTGTGTGACTGCACCCATATGAAGTTCAAGAACAGGTCAAATTAATTGTTCAAAGAAGTCAGGACAGTGGTCAACTTAGGGAGGTGGCAGCCTGTGTACAGGGTGGGAACGTGAGAAGAACCCTCACGGAGTTCTGGAAGTGGTGGCCAGTGGCGTGATCCAAGCGGAGCTACCCCACGTAGACACGTGAAAAAAACCACCCATCTGAACGTATATTTTACAGTGTCTGCTCTCTCTCCTACTGGGAAAAGGAAGAGCACATATATTACTCTCTTAAAAAAGAACAAGGGAGCCCGGCACTGATTTTAATCCCAGTGCTACCAGATTTTTTAGACGGCCTGCAGTTTATCAAAACGTGCTCCTCGGTGGTCTCATTTGTGAAATATGGAGAATTGCACTCACACTCTGCCAACTCTGGGAGTGTGAAAGGAGACAAAGAATAAGCCATGAGGTATCTTCAAGTCCTAGAGACACACACAGAACAGGTAAACTAGGAATTGCATTATAACTGCTTCTTTGAAGACCTATGCAGAATAGGTGACCTACAAGTTTGGTCTGCAATCTTAACAGAAACCTTTTTAAAAGAAAGAAACGATCTTGCCAAAGTGAGTTTCCATTAGCCAAAAGCAAGCACAAAGTAGAGTTCACCCAGGACGAAAGAACTTTTTCCAACCATCACTCACTGAGGCGGTAAGACGAGAGTCGTGGGTTGAGCCTTTGGTCTACGTTTAGCAGACACTCCCATTTGGTTAGCGGAACGTTTCAACGACTGTTGATTCAAAAGGCCAGATGCCAGACCTGCGTGGTACTGCAACTGCAGAGGAAAACCAAAAAATAGCATTTGGTAAAAGCAGGACAAGGGCTATTAAACTATCAATACTCGGTACATCTCACCAGCTCAGAACATTTTTAATAATTTCAAATATACCCACTAACATCCTGCTTCAAGAAATGTATTCATAGGAGGTAATCAGACAAACAGGAAAACAAACATGAATAAAGTTGCTCATCATGGCATTACAAAATGATAAAGAACTGGAACCAATCTAAATGCCCAATAATAAGAGGGAAATTGGGTAAATACATAAAGAACTTTACAACATCATTTTATTAAATTAAAAAGAAAAAGGTATTGTAAACAAAGAGGCACTTAAAAGCATTCTCTAGGAGGTTAAAACATGCTCTCTAAAAGGTTAACAGTGTATTTCTGAGTAGAACTATGGTAATTTTTTACTTCTTTTTTCACTTCTGTTCACATTTGCTTTATGTAAATGATTTTAAAGCTTCTGTCATTTTTAAAAAAGAGGATCCAGTGGGTTTCCTTAAAAACAAATTAGTTCTAGGAACCCTTGCTACTGTCATGTCTTGCTTGCAATAATAAAACATATAAACTCATACTCCACTGTGGTCAACAGGAGCACAACAAGCTGATCATAAACAGATTCAAACACACAGCTGGGCTGCTGTTCCCAGTGGTTAAGATACAAGTATCGATCACAAAAATAAGCACAGGAACATATCTCATGACAATGTACACAAATGGATACAGGCTCACTAAAGAGAACTGGCTGCAGAAGTTAATTCCACTCCATGCACATGCAATTGGAACAATACAAGTGAGGAAGCGGCCGACTCTAAGCGGGCTCAGAGCCAGCATCATTTGCTTTGTTCTGGACAAACTGCTGAGCATCGAGGTTACTCAGGACAGATCATTTTACTTCTCTAGACTTTCTCTACTGGAAAAGAGAAATAATACTGCCTAGTTCTAAACCAAACAGGACTTTAAAAAAAAAAAAAAAACCTTTACTGAGTTACAATTCATATAAAATAAAATGCATACATTTTAGGTGTCCAGTGTGGTGATGTCTTGATAACATACACCTGTGACACTGCCACCCCCATCAAGACACAGACAACCTCCATCACTGCAGAAAGTTCCCCTGCGCCCCACACAAGCAATCTCCCCCTGCCCTCAACTCCGATCATCAGGATCTTTTGATTTACAATACAGCTCATCACTCTCACTCGTTAAAAAATGAAGCTTATCTCCAATTTGACATGTGACAGTGACACCCATTTTCCTTTTTAAATCCTGTACTTTTGTATTTTAGATGTGAAGAGTTGTCATCCATCTCTATAACAAAATTATCCTTGAAAGGTATCCCAATTTTGAACAGATGTAAATAAAACATTCAAATGTGAAAATGCCAAGCTAAGAAACTTGGATTGAGACCATTTATAACATCCAACATGTTTCTTTTTCCCTCCTCAAATTAAGCAAGGTCTTTCAAACATTTATTTAGAATTAACTGAATATACAAATAGCAATTCATTCTGTAGCTCTGAATTTCTTTTCAAAATGCTCTTCCACAGCATAGATTTCCTTTGCAGAGTAAGCTACATTACAGCTCATGGTAATGAAATTGGTGACCACCATATAAAAGGGGTTGGGCCCTGGATGAAAAGGGTAATAACGTCCTGAAAAATAAATGGCCTCCTGTAAAGCCATTGGGCTGCACACAAACACAGAGTGAAAGAAAACACAACCAATTGAAATGATCTGCTTCTTGAAAGTGGCTATAAAAATGAAGATATCCAGTGACCCAGGAAAGACTGAAATGTCTGTGTTTGGAGCATCCATATTGCTTTTTAACAGGCTCTTGATTTACTTGGTCGACTTGCTGTGGGAGCCTTATGGCCGCACAATACAAGGCAGAGACAGACCACACTCATAACAGAAACGGAGCTCTTTATCTTTCTGGCTTACTTCGCTCTGTATAATGGGCTCCAGTTTCATCCATCTCGTTAGAACTGGTTCAAATTATACAGAGCGAAGTAAGCCAGAAAGATAAAGACCATTACAGTATACTAACACATATATATGGAATATAGAAAGATGGTAACGATAACCCTATATGCAAAACAGAAAAAGAGACTCAGATGTATAGAACAGACTTGTGGACTCTGGGAGAAGGCGAGGGTGGGATGTTTCAAGAGAACAGCATTGAAACATGTATATTATCTAGGGTGAAACAGATCACCAGCCCAGGTTGGGTGCATGAGACAAGTGCTCGGGCCTGGTGCACTGGGAAGACCCAGAGGGATCAGGTGGAGAGGGAGGTGGGAGGGGGGACCGGGATGGGGAATACATGTAAATCCATGGCTAATTCATTTCAATGTATGATAAAAACTACTGTAATGATGTAAAGTAATTAGCCTCCAACTAATAAAAATAAATGGAAAAAAAAAAAAAGAAACGGAGCTCTTCTCGAGGTGGAAAAGGGGGGCATGATTTGGCTCTAAAAACTCATCGCAGGTCAATGAATTTTGCCCAAATTTATTTTTATGCTACAGATTTCTTAAATGAGAAATCAATGGAAGCAAGGGACAGTACAAGTTTGAAAGACAATGTTTCAAAATGTCAGCTACTTGGGTTTCGATCCTCCCCACCAGAATTTGCAATGACTGCAATATGCATGGGGCTTTATGGAATTAAAGGGAAAGACAGCTTGGCAGGGGACCCTCCTGGCTCCAGGAACCGTCTCTCCTTCTGGCTCTCCTTCTCCTTCGTATCTTATTAGGGTCCATGCAAGCTCAGCCATTCCAGCCCTGCTGACTCTTTTGAGTGGAAGAGTCCTGCTAACTATGCAGAGTGGCAGGGTGATTTTGCCCACCTGGCATCATTCTGATCATTTGCTCAAACAAACAAAACCCCCCAAACAGCAGAAACGCATGCTAGCTGCTGTCTGTCTTTCCCAGAGTTCCGATGAGACTTCTACCATCTTGGATGCTCTCAATGTATGCCACACCCGAGAGCACATGGAGATGGAAGGAGTTTTCTTCCCCCAGAACAAAACCTGCCCTTGAAAGCTGACTCACAGTGATTAAGCGACATTTGTTAATCATATATACAGTTCCCAGTTTCCAGGAACACAGCTCCGACTGTCAAGATCTATAAGGGGCCCATTAAATATTTACCGAAGCATCTTTATAATGGGAGAAAAGGTCAAAGTTAATAAAACTGACAGGCAGCTCCTGTCCAACTGGATTTATACATTATTTAAGCACTAAACACTCCATTCCATGAAACACTGTGTAGATCTGCAAAGACTCTTGAAAAATGTTCACTCAGCCAATGGTTTTAAAACAGCAGAAGGGAGTTCAGAGCTAATCCACAAATTAACATTAAGAACATATCACTCCCTCAAAATACTGCCATAAGTGTTCAATTACAGGTTCGGTAATATTTTCTATAAAAATATATTTCAATAAACATACTTAGCTCCAAATGTCTGTGGCATGGAAACAATTCTTATTTCAAAAGGCAACTTATCAAAGTTATAATGTGATTTTTCTATCCAAGATCATTTCTCCACTAACCAGCAAGAGTAAAATGAAAGTGGGAGAGAAATAAAACAGTCCATTCTCTGAACTTCCACATCTCACAGCTGGGGGAATGGGACTGTTGTGTGGCCAGCTGGGGGGAAGGGGTCTTTATTGACTGCTGCTTGGCAGTCCTAGCTATTTCCATGTTCTCTGAATTTTGACAGCAAATTTCTCGCTTCCAAGAGAAACCTATCTATTCATGTCAAACTTCCACTTTCTATAACAAATGTCATATTTTTCAGTCAGTTCTCAACCTAAAGCCTTTTCTAATCAATTATACCTACTAATTAGCTCTATGCCTGCGATATTTTCAACACCTCATAATGATCTGAGGGAAACACCACTTTGAATTAGGAAAACCTTGATTTACTGAATAAATGCTGTTTTAGTAACATTAGACATGCACAAGTGTGGAATGTGATCAGGACCTGGTGAACTCCAGTGTACAGACTAAGAGCCTCTAGAATGTGCTGCTGGACCTGCTACTAATAAAAGCTGTGTGATCTCACATGGCTCATTTGCATTATATTTTCTCCAAGGAGCCACCAAGCTCTGAAGTTTAATTCCAAGCTCTAGGCTTCTGAAGACATCACAAGGGTATTTGGTCTCACCAAAAACTGGTGAAGTAATGTCCCTACAATTTCACACAACAGCAAACCCTTTTCCTCTGGATAGCCTAAGGTCTTCATTTTTAAAGTCCAAATTATTGAGGCTCAAATCCAGGTAGCTTTAATATGCTTCAAATTACAAATGACAAAACAGACTGAGAGGAAAAAATATGAAAGGAAATTATTTAAAAAACAGAACTCAAATGCAAAGTTTCTGATTTAAATCTCAGGTTCAGAAAATCAAGTGAGCAATGGTCCCCTTAGTTAGTCCTTCAACTGGTTTTCCATGTTCCACACTGTTCTGAATGCTCTACCTGCTCCAAGATAAATAAAGGGCATGTTCTGCAACAGACAGAAGTTTGAGAAGAAAACAGGAAATTCATCACACTTATCACATTCAATATACCAATTAAGCCACTGGCATTCGATCAGACCTAGAACTTAAAAGCTGATGTGTTTGCTAGAACCCCCCTGGCATCCGGGGTACAGCATCTATTCATAAGCAACGTGATCCTGCCCGTGCCCTATGGCCTGAATCCCACTTTAAGAAAACTGACATTCAAAAATCTTAAAATTTATAAGCCAGCTCAATCAAGGTTTGATTCTTCCTACCATGAAAATTATTTTCTTTTCCATCAAAGGCTTCTTTGGGGAGGTGGGGAACAAGTTAAAAACAGCAATGACAGAGTTCTCCTTAACCTTAAAGGCATTTCAACTCCATTTTTAAAAAATCACTTTACACAGAATTACATATAGATTCTCCTAAGAATGCTAGGAAGACACATTGGTACTTCCAGTAACTGAACCCTCTCAATGAAGA